GCGAGTTATGTCGGGAAGGTGGTCGATTACCTTAAGAATATTATATTGTGAATTCTATTGAACTCCTCTATATCGTACAATCCCAATAACCAAAACTAAATAATTTATTATATAAACCACTACGGTATCCGTTTTAAATTTTAAGTGCCTATTTATGATAATTTTAGTTATACCTAAATAGTACATGTTGAAGAAAACACAATATATTTTTCGAGTTTCCTTGGATGAAACTTAAAAACAAAAAATTTAGACTCAAAAATATTGTCTGTAGAATGACCTACGGTAAAAAAAAAAACAATGACAAAAAGTTGAGTTTTACCCAAAATGTTGGTCGTTTTTGACCAGCAAAATTTTATCAGATCCAAAAACTGTAGGTTATTGTATATAGAACAATGTACAGAAAACACAGAAAAAATTGATAGTGATCGGATCATTTGTGTAAGAGCAATCATTCGAACAAAATTAAAAAAATTGGTTTAAAGCTTTACTAGCTTTGTAAGTATTGTTAAAAGGAAACAGACCGGCGTTTTAAGCTGTCCAAGTGAGACGCGGTTAAATATTAAATTAAGTATGTATGCAAAGGTTGTTTTATAGAGGTATAGATTGTTTTTAGTCATGTGATAGTGTGCTGTAGAGAAATGTAGCAACTCTTTCTATGAAAATTTTATTTTTACTTGCATATATACACATGACGATGTATATACGAGTACACTTGAATACCAATTTATAAAACGAAGTCATAGGTAATAAATCATTGTCGACCGAATTATTATCGATTTTCTACTCACCGAAAAGTATCTTCAAATATAATTACATTACATGCATATATTTACTAATATATGTAGATATGTGTATGCAGATGTGTGTATATATATACAAATATTATTGGTTATGCATATAAAATGCAATCGCTGACAACAGGTTGACAATTCTTCAAAATTGCGTCTTTTGGCCATCTATTGCGGTAGCAAAGCAAATAGGCGAAGTAAAGAAGATATAAAAACAAGAAAACAAATGCGAAATGACATGCCATTAAAGTGTGTAAAGCATATTTACTTATACATGAATATATATGTACTTATGTATGTAAATACGCAATCTAAAGTGCATACAAATGCATTTGCATGTTTTATGTATGTACTTATGTATAGGTATATATATAATTGTGTTCGCATTGTGTCATAAAACTTCTCAAACATATGAATACACACGTGTGTATGTATCTGAGTGTGTGTAAGTATGCATACAATGTGCATGCAATTTTTTAACGACTCTATGACAGCTTAAGCTCGAAGTTATTTGCGAAAGTATGTGTATTTGTATGTAGATGTGTATGTATATTCCTCAGCTTACAATTCGCACATTCATAGATTTATGCATACACATACCATACATACATATATAAATATATATTATTTGGCATACACATACAGTCGCATTTAAATGTATGTGTATGTATGCGCTTGTGCATGCTTAACAACTTGTCCGCAAATGTAGGGCAATAGGATGGGTCAGTGCAGATGCGTTCGCTGCCAAACGTTTGCGATGGCAATCTATTAAAATTGGTTCAAATCGCAGGGTTGGCGCAGTGACTGCGGAGTAAGAATAAGAAGAAGAAGCAGATGAAGACAAAATCTCTAAAATTCACTTTCAAACGCAATGCATAGTAAAATAAAAATGGAACAATTTCGGCCGCCGTCAACTTGAAGTTTTGAAGGGGCAAGCTAGCGAACAAGCCTTAGAGATACAAATGCACTTACATACATACATACATACATACATACATATACATCTGTTTTAAACCACATGCACGTATATAGGCTAACCCTTGCGCGTGTAAAGAAGTCACATGTCAAAAATGAACTTGGTTTGCATTCTTTGAAGTTTTCAATGCATGTACAATACATATATAGTTATGTATGAATGTTCCATTTATGTTTACATATGCATGTATTAATTTTTGTATATGTATGCAGATTTACGCATAACTTTGCATATATTTGTAACTGTTTTAGTAGAAAGTTGGAGTGCGGGACTAAAATCCGCTAAACCTAGCTTAATCCCAACTCATGGTACTTCGTAAGAGTGAAAACATATTTTTAGGTCTCCTCTATGATTCGGATTAACTGACACCTAATCTGTCGAAAATTTCTCAGTTTTGACATAATTAAAGCTGACGCTTAGCTGATAGCTTCACATTTATTAAAGGAATCACAGGAGTTAGTTTTTAGCCTTTCCGTTTTGCTTAGAAAGGGGGAGCATAATACCGTGTCCAAGTTTTCTGTACATCTTGTTGAAGTTAAACAATAAGTACTAATGTCGTGGTGGACTTTGAGAAATGTCTTCTAAAGCAGCCTTAGTTGGAGCAGATGGATCCCCGAATTTTGTTTCCCGCACTATTTTTGCATTGCCTCGCAAATCTCTTCCGCAGTAGATTTTCATCCATGTCTTTGCACATAATCGTGACGTAGTGGGGTTTGAACTGCATTACAGCCATTCCACCAGCATTTGATTTTTCAATTCTAACAGCAGATCTCCTTTCAACGTCTTCCGTGGTATCGCCTTGAATTAGTGGTTTAAAACTCCTGACAATAAGTATGTTCAATCAGTGCCCCTTAAACCTTGATTATATTTTCGATTGTTGGGAATGCCCAAACCAAAGGGAATACGAAAAGGAAAAACGAAAGCTGCGTGATTAAAATAAAAAGCAGCAGAGCAAATTAAGCACACATTTTCTTATTGATTTAGTGTCCGCTTGTACCCCAGGATTCAATAGTCCCATGTTGTCTATCTATTTATTTATAGATGTTCGGTATCAGACTGTGGGTGCACCTTCGTGGGTCCTTTAGTCCTTTGGATGAGGTTTGCAACCGTTGCTACCACTTTTTGTCACACTTGTTTCTATCTTCTATCTTTCGCAATATATGGGCTAATGAGAGTGATAATCGTGAAAATTCGTTTTATCAGCCGCATCGCTTTATATGCTCGGAATACGAATTCTTGTAGTATGGTTACATAACATCCATCTCACCAAGCACTCCCTCTAGATCGATCTGGATCATTTCGAATCCCTAGTCTACTTGTTTTTTCAATTGCATTAGCATGACTTCTTTGAGAGTTTTGCTAATGTAGGTAATATTTGAATCCAATACTTCAAGACCATTGTCACTTTTTATTTGGCGAAGTATAACACATAAGAACTTGTATGTATCAGTGTCATCATACGAGACAGCAAGTTTTTTATTAATAAAATAGCGTCTTAATTTATATCTAATTTTTTTTAGCACGATCGGTCTCCACAATTTTACCACGTCGACCCATTTTTTGACTTTTACTAAAATTCCACTTCACCTATTTGAATTATTTAAGAACTTTAGTTAATCGAAGATATTTCAGGAGTACTATAATCTAAAAACTACTAACCAAAATTTGGTATTCGAACCTAAGGCTAACGGAATGTTAATCTCGCAGCCGGCCAACTTGATCTCCTGAATATATACAATTATATTTACATATATATAGACACATTGCTGTTTGATTCCCCAATTTATATTCGTAGGTACTTTTTTATGCATTATAATTCGATCAGTTTAGCAAAATATACAGATTTTTATCGTTAAGCATAAATGCATTATATACCCGATGTCATCGACGAAATAAATACATATGTATCTAATTCTGTTTGGGTTAAATCTATGGCTCTTTCAACATATAAATCAAATTCTCAATGTACATTTACATATGTATATACAAACACACATATGTGACTGTATGCTTCCGCCACCACAGCTTATCGTACACATGCATAAATACATATATATCTACATACATATGTGCATATGCCTTATCCACCAGCCTTAAAAGCGCAATTTGCAAACAGCTGTTCCAAAACGCTTTACAGCTTGCATACTCTTGCAGCAGCAAATGAAGAGAGCCATGTAATGAAAGAGCGCAAAGCCATTTTAAATGAGAGTAGCAAGCATTTCACTAACACAAGCAGACACGTGCGCTCCGCAAGCTCTCAGCCAACGCTGCAGCGCGCTGCTCCACCACTGCCACCACTACCACAACTACTCATGCAGCGGCCAACAAACGAATGATCGGCGAAAGCAAAGAGGCAAACATAGCGGCACAGAGACACAAATACCCACTCAACGCAGGCGAAACTATCTGTAGTCGCAATGTTGAGGCGCTGCTCTTGGCTGTGTAGTCATTTATAAATATCGCCTTTGCTACGTATTTCGGCTGCACAAACTCTTTTATGTACAATGTGTATGTGTGTATGTAGTGACAAGTTTGTTTGTAGGTGTGCGCCCCACCACGTCACCGCATAGCGCAAAGTCGGCAGCACAATCCCGGTATGCCCGTTGCTACTCGCGCTTTTCCCGATTGCTGCCGCCGTCAACGTCTGCGCCGCACTACCACTTTCGCACTATTACTGCACACATGTATGCGTGTGTGTGTGTGAACGTGTGGATGGCATATGCTTATGTAGCTTTGGTACCGTTCGTTTGCTCAGCAACGACAGCGTGGCTACCGCCTGCCGCCAGCACACCGCCCCGCGCTCGCTGTGCCAAGCAAACTATCCAGAGCATTGCGTAGCCAAATGAATTTTTGTGAGTATGTGTGGCTGTGTGTGTTTGTACCTCTTCCCGGTTGCTACTTTGGCCGCTTTGGCTCTTCTTTTGCTGCGCTTTTGTTGGCAGCGCAGCCAACACTATTTGTTGTAAATTAGTTACGTACATACATACATACATATATGGTATATGTACTTATGTGTACTCGCCTATGTGTGTTTGTGTGCGTTTGTATGTTTCGCTGCTGCGCAGTCGCCGCCACTGCCAGTGCCACAACCGTGGCAGCGACTTCACTCAGCGCTCTGTTGTTGGTGGGTCTTTTGCTCGTTGGCGCTTGTTGTTGTAAAGTCCGCGCGCGCGGCAATGTGGAGCGTTGACGATGATGGAATACAACGAACTCGATAACATTTTGAGGCAGTCTTTGGCTACACTTCGCATTGAACGTATCGCGGATATGTTGCGTTGTCTCGCGTTGCGTACAACATCAATAACATCATAATCATCAAATTCTCCATTTGATGTACTCAACTCGATTATTCAACACATTCGACTTTAAAATAAATTTTTACAATAAATTTTTCGTTACAAATTCACGTACATGGATACTCTAGGTATTGCAAGCTAAGAAAACAAAAAATAAAATTTAACAAACAATTATTAAATTGCATAGATTTTAATATGAAAGTAACATAAATAAAAGTGCAAAGTGCTGTGTTTTTAAGTGACGCTTTAACAGTGTGTGTGCTGTGTGCAACTCCTACTAATAAACGCTATTGCTTTTACAATTCTGTTACGGCATATAATATTTGTATAAAATCGCCTACGAAACGGATACGCGCTATACGGTTCACATTAAAGTAACAACTCTGTGCGCTTACGCGGATGCGTTTCGCAATTGAAAACTTACAAAATCTGTAAATTGTCTTAAAGCGGCAAGCGAACGGTTAGTTGAACGCTTACGGTCGGTCGTTTGGTCGGTCAGTCGGTCGCAGGGTCGTTGGACGGTCGTTGGCTTACAGACGTTGCTTATTGGTGCCTGCATCCCTGCGTCTGCACCGCCACCCCAACTCCCCAATCCCCCACACATCCCGCGCTGTTTATACCGCACACCACTTGCGCAATGCGCCACCTTGCCGGCTGGTGCATTTAGGCCGGTCGCTTGATGCAGAAGCCTGCAAAGCAGCACTTGCTGTTAGCCAAGCGCCCAACCGCCCACCGCAACCCAACCAGCGACCAGCTGCCCGGCTTTCCTGGTGCGTCGCGCCTGCCAGCAACGCGCACGAAGTCGCCGTCGGTGTCGTGTCGGCACTCATCGTTCGCAACGTACTAACACAGATGCACACGCCAACACACACAAACGCGCGCGCGCACACAAACACTCGAGCAATGTACTGGACTGCACAAGCTGCATTGCAGCAGTTAGCAGCAGCAAAAGCAACAACAACAACGCGCCGTTAGAATAGAAACGCTGCAGTACGGCGCTGCAGTGACGGAAGTGACGTAATTTCCGAAACAGGAAGCAGCAACATAGCGCTACAGTGAGCGAGTGAACGAGCGCAAGAACAAACGCATAGACAATTTCAATGGCCAACAACAGCAGTATCGTGCTGCTGCTGCTGGCGAACGTTCAGCAAAAAACTAGAAGGAGGCGAAAAACTGTGAATGGCAAAAATTGAAGAAAAAATGTGCAGATTTTTTTAAATCAAATAAAAGAAAATTATGTATGAGTTCAAAACGAAAATGAAAATATGTAAAGAAAAATCTGAAAAATAATAATAAGTTAAGTAAATAGCAACGCGTGTGCAAATCCGAAAAAAAAATAAGTTCTGAGCATAAAATATGATTTTTGAATATATGAAGAGCATATCAATGAAAACCTACATATTTCTTCTTCTGCGAAAATATTGAATTAAAAAAACACCTTATTACCAAAATATTTACATATGTGCCGAAAATCAAGCGAAAACAAAACAGCATGAAAAGTGTAGTGCTTATCTCAGTGCAAACTTGTGTGAATTTAATAAATAAGAAAACAGTTGAAAAGCAAGCCAGATTGTTCGATCCAATGAAGCGCCGCAAAGCCGCTAATGAAGCGCGCTAGTCGAGTACGTTGCATGACGATGGATATACGTTTGAATATTACAGTTGTGGTGGTAGTAGTTGGGCGTTGAGCGGAGCAACCCTATATATACATACACACACATATGTGTGGCTAGAAGAAAGTTATATAAATAAAAAAAGCGAAGCAAAATAAATTTCCCGGGGAGTGAATTATGAAAGAGGTGCCTACTTACCCCCAACCTTCCCACACCCCTGTGCTACCCTCTCGTACATGCAAACCGTAATCCAAATTGTCGCAAAATTGCAAACGAAAAGCAAAGGCAAAATTTCTGGAAAAGACAAAATTTGATTAAAAAAGCGAAATGTTTGGCAAAATAGCGAAATTTTTGAACAATTTGGACAGTTAACTGTTTATTGAAAATAAAAACAAGTATTTGTATTTCTTTTCGGACACAAAAATGTATTTTTAGACAAAATATTGATAAGCAAAAAGTCTCAAAAATAATTCATTTGCGAAAACTGCTTTGGAAAACCATGAAATAATAAGACAAATCATTAAAAAAATTTTTTTTTTTTTGAAATTACATCATTGCATTGTGCATACACATACGCGATTTATCTGAATTTGTCGAAGTTGGTGGTATTGGATTGTCTGCTGGCTGCGTTGTTTTTGCGTTATTTCTTAAATCTTTACTTATGCATTTATAGAAATGAGTTTTGTATTAACAAGTTTCAGGAAAAACATTTTTTTAGCTCTTATAGAAGTTTGCATATTGTTTATATTGTGCCGCAACTAGTTGACTTCCAATATGTAATAAAAACAAATAAAGTTTGTCGGAAAATTTCAAATCACAGAATTGAAGTTTACTTACTCCTTAGCTAGTCAGAATGAATTCCTAAAGAGAAAAAGCAATACAAATTTAATAACACTTTCTAAACAGTTTTTAATCTATGCGTGATTTTACCAAGTTTTGAAATAAAACCTTTTTAAGTTTAATTCTGCAGCGCTTAAACTTTATAAATATTTTTAAGTCGTCCATATCTACTTTCCGATACTCTCCATATATTTTCTTAAAAGCCTAAATTTTATTTTTGTATTTTTGGTCTCGTCCACCTCTTGACTCTAAGCCTGAGCAGGCTAAACATCACACAAACACTTGTTATCATCAATCCTTCCTTAATAAATTTGAATATAAATTTTCATATTACTCTCCACATATTTGATTGAAAGCATTTTATTATGATTTTGTTTATTCTTGCAATTAATTCAATTTAAAATTTTTTCCTCTTAAAAACCATAATTACATACATATTTCAAGAGATGCTTGGTTGTGACCTATTCAAAGAGACTTCTCAAAATCTATTCAAATTTTTATAATTATAATAATATAAGCCTTATGAAGGGCTAAAGCAGATATTACTGAAAAAACGGGATTAAAAAGTTTTAAAACTTAAAATTTTTTTTTAGCCTAACAACATACATTCATACATACGTTAATGATATCTGTTCTCAAATAACATGGGAATGAGTAAATGTAGTAAAAAGTCATAAAAATATCATATGTTCATGTTTTTACATTATACTTTATTTACATTTTTCTCTAAAATTATTGATATTTACAGAATATTAAAATATGTATTTTCAATTAAAAGATTTTAGAAAAATTTTTAAATTACATTAAAACCAAAAAAAAATATATTAAAATAAATTACATAAAAGGATTTTTTTTTCAATTTGGAAGGTATAGGAAAATAAAATTGAATTAAAACTAAAAAAAAAAATAATAACATTTAAAGTTAAAAATACTATTCATTAGACAGTTATAGCAAAAAAAATTAAAAATTAAATAAAAAATCTAAATGTTTCATAGACTGTCACATAAGCAGAAAGAAAAGAAAATAATAATTTAGTGAGTTAAATTCTGTTTAATTGAGTGAATTTTTAAAACATACAGTTAGAGAAAAAAACGAAAGCCTTACTTTTTCCATATGTTACCAATTTTCTTCCAAATTTGAACAGCTTACAGTATCTTTAAAAAAAACAACACATTATCCAAAAGAACATGTTATAACATAAATGTTGTAGAGAACCCTATCTAAACAAACCAATTATCATTTTCCACGTTATGTTTGGTCTCTCTTCATAATTATTCGAATATTACTTTTCAATTTTATGTGCAATAAAAATCAAAAAATAAATACTGCAGCCGTAATTAATAATTTGTTTCAATACGAAAATTGTAAAAAGCTACCACCAAATTATATGATCTCTGCAAATATGCAGACATCGTATGTATGTACATGTGTACATAAATAAATTAAATCCACAATGCACATGAAACCCAAATTTACTAGCATGTATTAGTACACACATACATGCAAATTACATACATACTTATATATAGATGTATTGTATATACATATACATATGTATTAAGATATGTATATATACCGAAATGCATGCAGCTATCATCCCCTCATTTGCGAGTGAGTAACTATTTGGCCTACATTTGCAATGAATTCCTGAACAATTAAAAGCGCATCTTTACTCTGCACCAACACCCAGACAGCATGAATTACATACGCATATACATACGTGTATGTTTGCAGTATGTATGTATGTATGTTTGTATTTCAACAGAACATCGCTTTATGCTGCAGCAAAGCAGCCAAGCAAGGAAATAGGCAAGCGAACTGAACTAGCCAATATGCGAAGAAACTTGCATAGGACAAATGATTCGCTGCCGCTTTCTATGATTGAGTGCACAAACCTACATGATTTCTTTTCGAGCGAGCAAAATCTTCAAAAAGCAAAAATCAGAAATCATAAAAAGAAAACGAAAAACGACGAAGCAAACAATAAAAAGAACAGCCACCATCGGCGGCAGATTACAATGCAACGAAGCAAACTATTAAAAGCGCTCCCCCGTCATGTTGTTGTTGTTTCAATTTCATTTTTTTTTATAGGCTTTTGTCTTTTTGTGGGCGCTTGTATGGTCGTGTGCGTATGTGCGTGTATTTTGTCAGCAAACATAACTAATTGTTAGCGCTGTTAGCAAGCGAACCCAACCGCGTAGCAATCAGATCCACGCCAAAAACAACAACAGCGCCGATGTCCAAAGTAAAAAAAAATAGTCAAAAGTTTGGTAAACGTCTACGAAGACCGACACATAGAGTAAACACTACATACAAGCGATAAATATTCCGTCAGCATGAAGAAAACATATGGTTTGATCGTATAAGTTTCGTCTAGCGAGACATTAGGCTACTATGGGTTGGTAGTAGTCCAATATTAGAGCCAACAATGACGGCTGTATAGATTTCCGAACAGTTTGAGAAAGTGAACGGTAGTTACGGTTACTCGAAAAAACCCCTTAGAAACCAAAAAACTTTTTAATTGCTAGACTAACACAGTTTTTATAGTCTAACATCTTTACTTCGAATTATAGAGTTGTTTTTATCAATATTCAAATTTCCATTCCCATTTTCTGGTGTTATGCACTTCCAAAAAAAAACGGGTTTTGTAATTTTTATTTTTTGAAGAGGCATTTAAAAAATAATTAGAAATCGTATACATTTTTTGAATTTAATGTATTTTAATAATCAATTAATTTCAAAAATCTTTGGATTCCCTTGATCCCGTAGCCGATAGGCAAGAGGACCTTCGAAACAGGGATGAAATCCAAGAACTAAAAAAAATTTTAATAATTATTGATGAAAACAGGTAATGATCAAAATAAAAATTTTGATTTTGACAAGTTGACGTCTAACCAAAAAGAAGTCGATTTTTGTGGAAAAATTTACAGCACAAAAGTCAATCATTCCGTAAGAAATATATAATTTTCCTCGCCGACTTTGAAAAGTCGTTTCGGGAAAAGCGCTCAACAAAAAAAAATCGTATAAATACGCACAAAACTCAGAAACTACTTCCGGGTCAATTCAAAATTTTCGAAGAATACTCGCAAATATATGTACATATGTATGTATATGCATTCGATATATATGTACACATGCAAAATAAAAAATAAAAAATTTGCGTAAATAAAACAAATTTTAGTCCAGCTTTTAAAAATTGGGTTTCGACCTAGCGCATTCATAATTCAAAAAAAAAAAAAAAAATTTCTACCTGCTAAAAAATCACATCAAATTTAGTTAATATGACTAGAAGGCTTATATTCAATTTTGAACTAGTATGTCTATAAAAAATTCCATCATTTTTAATGCAAGGGCTGAGCAAACACAACACACTTTAATGCACACTCCGCATACCGCTACACATGTCAAAACTATCCCCAAACTCATTTCATGCTTACACCGCTCTTTCTCTGTGTTTCGTACTGTTAGTAGAACAAAAGCTGTGTAGCCTACCCAGCAGGCAGAATAAGAAACACTTTAGTGCAAACAAACACAACTACAAACACGCATACATGTGGCGTGTGAGTGTGTGTGCGCCCATAGAATAAGCATTTTTTCACAAAGCACAAGAAGAACAAGAGAAAGAAATGGAGAAATGAAATGTTTGTTGTTGTAATAGTAACAGTATACGAGTACCGTACGAACAAACATACATACCTCTTCGAGCATAGGTCATTGGTCTTTTTCGGCGTCAACGACACGACGGCTAGCCAAGCAACTAGCGAAGCAATCTAGAGTTCTGTACGACGCTGTCGTCGTCGGCGCCGTCGCTAACGTAGAACGTAGTAGTTGTAGTCGTCGTCATCATCATCATATAGCCATTTTCTGACGTCGCCGTCACAGTTATTTGTGTTGACTACAAACGCAAACAGCAGCAAACATAGCGCAGAGCGGTGTAGAGTGTGTGGTGGCGGAGAGTGTCATGCTGAGCGAGCTTGCGAGCGTGTCGCGGGGAGGCGGTGGATATGAAAACTGTGAATTGGAATTCGGTTAATGTATGTATGAATGGTTTGTGGGGTGTTGATGGGGTAGTTGGGTGAATCAAGCGCGGAGCTGGTGTCAACGCCGTGTTTAAGTCGATTTGTTGTGGGCGAATGTTTGCGACTGTTTGCTCACTCCCAGACTGACTGATTGTCTGCCTTGTCTGCATTACCAAACTGCTATGACTATTCGCGATCTATCGGACTCCTTATCTGTATGCTGATAAGCTTGCATACAATATACATATCTATGTATATATATATATACATACATATATATATATGTATGTATGTACTCACAAATGTAAAGCTCAGTCATTAGAAATCAAAATCGGAAGCCATGCAAATGTTTGTTGATATGAGAAGTGTGGGAAAATTATTCAATTATATTGTAATACAGTTGTTTTGACGTTATACTCGTTATCTGTATTACCAAATCATATGTCACTAGATAGTTTAGGCATTTAGCTTATGGCTAGATTCGCCTATCGGGGGGAAATCAATTGTTTAATACCAATAGATTCAAAAAATAAGTATTATTAAGATCCTTTGGCGATCCCTTGAGCGGGAGCTTGATCTACTGTGAAAATTATAATTATGCCACTTAGGTTTAGAACGAAGAACCCTTTAAGGAAATACGTTAGTGAAAAATATGGTAGTCAAACGGACAGAGACTAAGATATTAATTCCGATTCGAAAGCAAAAAAAAAATATTCTGACCATTTTTCAGATATGCTCTCAATATCTGTCGGTCCGAAAAATTTATTTAATTTTACTGGGTATATTAAGTTTGCCATGAAATTCATAACACCCAGAAGGCAACGTCAGAGGCAATATGAAATATATATATCAGCGGGACGAGCTGAGTCGATTTAGCCATCTCGTCTGTCTATATAAGGCGAAGTAGTTCGTCAGTTTTTGAGAAATCGATCTGAAAATTTGTACACGTTCTTTTCTCTTCAAGAAGCTGCTTATTTGCCGGAACCGCCGATATCGGTGAACTATAGCATATAGCTGCTATACAAACTAACCAATCAGAATCACGTTATTATATGAAAAACTTTTTTTTATTTAAGAAGGGTATTGTAGCGTCAGTGGAACCGAAGCTAACGTTATTTCTCGCTTTTGTTTTCCAATGTTGAATATCATTATTCACCTAGAAGGAATATATGGGACCTTCTAGGTTCTAGGTCTATCACACTCATCAGTTGCTATTATTTTGTAGATATTCAGAATAAGCGCGTTCTATGAAGTTAAGGAATGTACCTCAGTCCATACATATGGTATGTACTTGTATATACAATACATGTACATACTTATGCACAATACATATGTATGTGTCTAAATAATTTTACCAAAAATCTGGTGACAATGAGCTATTAATATTTGACTTTGCACCGCCAAATCACCGCTTGATTTTACCAACGTGTGTGGCCAGTAATAATTGTTCCAGAAGCTGATTGCCACTGCGAAATTTCCACCAAATTGCATATATTTACACAATACATAGTGAGTGTATGTAACGAGGCATGTCGCATGTAATTTACCGACGAATATTACTGCGATTGCCGTGGCTCCTGCTCCTTTTTTTTTACTTATTTGGGATATGCCACTAGTCTTTGTTGGGGCTTATGGGCCGCCCGTTTGTTGCTGCAGACTGCCACTGTTGGCGGTTGGTTGCATGTGCATAAATAATTTCATTCTATTTTTTATGCTGTTCCCCAGTTTTAAGCCCATCTTATGCGCACACAAACATACGGATGCACATACATACATACACTTATATATACTTATGCATATTGGTGCATGGCTATATTTTTATATTCCACATTATAATCATTCCATTTGCAGTTAGTCGCGCGACGAAGTCAATTTCTCCGACAATTGCTGTTGGCACAATTTCCGAGCAGCGCTGCTAACAGCAATTAGCAGCGCAGTAGACTGCACTGTCGGCTTCGTTCGTGTCGCGTCAATGTAATGTTATGATTCGTTGAGTCGATTGTTGTTGTTATTGCCATTGTTGCTACTGTTGTTGTTGCTGTTGCTGTTAGTGATGATGTTCTAGCGGCTCGCCGTTGTAACTGTAACTTGCTGACGATGGCGTAGTGCGCGCGCGCACACACACACACATTTATTATTTGTAGGCATTTAAAGAAATAACTGTATAGCGCTGCCTCTATGATTATTCAGTTCAGTTGGCTGCCCCAGAGTCGCTTGAATTGCTGTTCGCCGTTCGCTGGCGGCTCAAATCATGATGACGTATTCCACCCATTCCACGACACTCCAGCTGGTGGTAGCGTGCCAATCGCACTTACCAACAAGTATGCTCATACCTACATACATACATGTTTTTTTGTAATATACTCTATCTACTTGTATGTATGTATCTACTTGTATGTATGTATTTGTGTACATATGTATGTAAAGTGCTTGTTAGACAACAGTGTAAACATGTTTATATTCGGTTAGATACCGGTATTCTGGCCGCCTTTGGATACCTCACTATGGTTACATATTTGAAACGTTGAGTATATACTGTCGTACATATATACCGTTACATTCATACAAAAATTTTCATAGCTACACTATATGTATGTACACATTTTTACAGATGTATATACGCATACATATATATATATATGTATAAAACTCAATATCTAGTATATATGTACGTGTGTGTGTTTGTATGGTGGTATTTGTGCATTTCTTTTTATGCCTGTATCTGTGCTTATGCCCGCGTTTGGCCTGTTGTTTTGCTCTTCTGTTCGCTGTCACCAACGCCGAATGGAGCTTTAGGTCATAGAACTTTTGGGCTCCTGCTGTTGTGCTATGTGGATTGTTGGTGTTTTCCTCTTCTTTTTCTGTGCATATTTCCATTCGCGTTGTGTATGTATGTGTGTTGGTTTTCTCGTTTTTTTTTACTGTTGCTGCTGCTGTTGTTGTTGTGTAAATTTTTTGTTGCTACTTATATGTATGCTGCAGAGATTCCACATTCACACACTGCAGGCATATCAAGCCATTTTTGTTGGGTCAGCAGTGATTCATTGAATTAAATTACTTTGTAAACTTACATATGTATGTGTGTATATAATTACAGCATGCTTTAATATTTAGTGAAAAATCTTTATATCTGTAGGAAATATCGCTCTTAAATTACCGCAAGCCATCAACACCTTTGCTATAAATGGAAATATGCGGATATACTTGTATTTCAGTTCTGCTTATAATTTTAATTATGAGCTGTGAGTTAAATTTATTGCACTGTGAAGAGTATAGAAAGAGTAAAATATGGAGAATTCAAAATATAAATATATACCATATACATATTTACTTAAAATAGCCGCGGTAACTATTTTTTACGAAAATTATTGGACTATAATAATTTTTTCAAGTCCGCCAGGGTTTGAAAATATAAAATTTCTTCTTAAAGTTTTCCAAGAATTCTTGAGAAAATTCGTTTTTAATCAGTCTCCATTTTTAAAATTTTTATAACGAGACCACTAGACATCGTACCAGTCCCTTAGTAATGAGCATTCGATAAACAACAATTCGCAATAGTAAATTCACTCTAACGTGACTTGTAATCGAAATTTTTGTATTGTTGTAGAAATATTATTGTATTTTTATTAAACAGTTTAAGCTTAGTTAAAAATAAAACCTAATTATAAATTTTTTAAAATATTTTATTTTTCATGTTTTAGTTGATATATTTTTATAGCTTTTTTAATATATTTTGGTTTGTTTTTTCAATTTGTGTAAATTTTTTTTTATATATTTTCTTTTTAAAATTAAAAAAAAAAATATTTTGGTTATATTTTTAAATATTTTATTTTTGTAATACTAATATTTTCGAATTAAGTCAAACTCTTAATTAGTTCATCTAATTCTAAAGGCAAAATATGTCAAACTATTTGTTCACGTTTTGTATATAATACATATTTATGTACTCGTATGTGATAGAGTATTGAGCACGTGATACGCGGAAGCACCCACAATCGTTTATTTATCGATTTTTCGCTGCCAAGCAACGTATACATGCACCCAGCGGAACATAAACGTTCATACATATACTACATATAATATAGATATGGTATTCATACAATATAAATATATGTATACAAATAAGTGTCGGGTGGATTTATGTATATAAGTACATATGTTCACATATAAATATCATTACAAATGCATATGTTAACACACCCACAACAAGCGGCAAATGTTTGTTGGACTTTTTTGATATTTGAAGCCTATACTAAGGCGATTTGGCTGGCCTCAAGCGTTCATACTAAATATATATGTATTAATGCAATATTACACATGTTATGTAGCCACGTACATATATACACTATACGCATATACGATATATGCACTCGTATATATTACTTTCGTATTTGCCTTCGCTTATGATTGTCTAAACTCAAAGTTAGCAATGGCAACGATAATGTTATTTGTGTAATTTATCCTACACATATATACTTTTTTTTACATATCTATGACATTAATGGGCTCTTTCTACTCCAACAATAAACAAACCGGCTCCAATATTTGCTCATCAATTGTTATTGGGGTGCGTGCGATAATTGCGTTGGTGTCAAAAAACAGCATCCCTCAAGCGCATTGAGGCATATATACAGTGACTGATAACATTGAACTTATTCTAGCTGGTTTTTGGAATCGCAAAAAACATATGTGATATTTAGATTTGCTAGCTTAGACGTAAAATCTAGGACGTAGGGAGCAAAAATATCAATAGCCATCAACGATCCGTCATTTCTCCTTTCGTTCTCTTTAGACAATGTTTGAACATCTGAGATAATTTGTAGAGAATTACCGATTAATGTACATATATAGCAGCCTGACAATATCAGTATTTTAAACCAGTTGGAATGACGTTCAAATTCAGCCTGAATAATTGTGAGGCGCACTATAGATATGCGCTCTTAAATATTGAGGTTTGCTTAATTGGGTATCCAGATATACAAAAATACAAGCTTATACGAATATAGCTGTTATCATGTCGCATGCGTGAACCATTCTGCCAACACATGTGCATTCTACCTCCAACACTTGACCAGCCAACGAACAATCGAGTAAACATCGATAAATTCTAGTAAATTTAGCTAAAATATAAAATTTTGCTTATTATTTTATAAGCGAACATTGCATACCCCTTTTACACTTATCGAATAATCCAACCAACAACACTACTAAAAATCGCTTAAGAAAACATGAAAACAACAAATAATTTCATTAAAAAAATTCTTCATTAATAAAAAGCGACCTCACCAACAAACAAAAGAGCAAAAATAAATATATTAATTGAAAACAACAACAACGTTTATATATGAATCTCTGGCAACGCAGAACAAAAACCACAAATTGTGTGCAACAACAACAACAAAAGTGTAATATTTAAAATAAAAACGCAACAATAGTAATAAAAATAAATAAATAAAAACAACAACAGCATTAAAAGTTGAAATGGACTCGTCGCCGCAATTGTATAAAATAAATTCCAAATGTCTTCCGGAATAAATTGTCGTGAAATTTTCGTATTTTTGGAAATCTTAATTTGGAACCAAAGGGATCATCAGAAGAAGAGAAATCATAGTCATCAACAACAGCAGCAGCGACACAGCAACAATAATAATGATAGTGACCAGCAACAACACAAGCAACAACAACAACAACCACAACAACAACACAACAACGCAGTGAAAGTGTTAAAGTGTAAAACTAATAATAATAACAACAATAATAACAATAACATTCACAAAACCTATAGCAACAATAGCAGCAAAAGCAGTAACAACAGCAACAACAACATCGACGTCATAAGCGATAGTCAAAGTAGCGACAGTAGCAACAGTAACAACAACAACAGCTGCAGCAGCAATAACAAAAGCCAAAAATTTAACAATTACACGCATAGTGCTGGTCATCGTCAGCAACAACAACACCAACAACAGCAACAACAAACGCATTTCCAATATTTCCAACAGCAGCAGCTGAATAAAGCCAAATCTAATAATATCAACAACAACAACGCCAACAACAATACACATTCAAACCACTTGAAATTGTTGCAAAATCAAATGAAAATCGCACGCAAAGCCTGCACCAGCAGCGGCCAACAGTAACAGCGCGTTTGAAGGGAAAAAGAAATTTCACAAAATCCAAAGAGGAAATAAAAATTCAGAAATTTCTACAAAAGAAATTCCGCAAACTGCCGCGAGTTGGCACTTAGTCGCCAAACACAACCACACATACATAAAAGTGTTAAGTGTATATGCGTGGCTGCTGAGAGCGAAGCAATCAAAAGAGAAATTGGAAAAAAAAACTATAAAACGCTTTGTTGTTGGCGTAGAGACGATGTTTCACACCACAAATGCGCATAGCTAAATTTAATGAATTTTATATAAAAAAAGAAATAATTTTTATAAGAAAAAAATGTTTGATGATATAAAAAAAATTAATGATTTTATAATTTAATTTACATGCGCGTATAAGTCAACGGACAAAAACAACAAAAATCACAAAAGCAACTACGAACGAGTAGCGCGCAGCGAGTGTTTTGTTAAATGCATAAACTATTGGGGAAAAGCTGATTACGAAACTATTTGAGTTGGCATTTTTTTTACCGAATGTTTGAAAATTGTTTGTTTCAAACAATTCGCTAATTGTTCGAACAAGTGTCTTAGAATAAAAAGAAATAATAGTTAAATAAAAAAGTTAAATAATCTACACACACATATAAACTATATATATACAAATACATATATATATATATATAATATATACATTATATAAGTTGAAATTGAAGAACTATTAATTAGTAAATAACCAGCAAATAGTACCTTTTCATAAAAAAATAAACATTAACAAATATATATTCGAAAAACAGTAACAACAACAACAACAACAGCAGCTAAATTAACAGCAACGTTTAACTTATATACAAGCATAACATAATTAAAAATTAAAATTAAATTCGAGCGAAAATTGATAAAATAGCAGAGCAAATAGCAGCATCATTTAAAAAAATCAACAAAACTGTGATACTAATATTTCACATTTACATACATACATATTTATACATAGCAGTTGAAAACAAAAAAAAGGCAAAACGTGTTGGCGAAAGGAAATAGTAAATTGCGTAACTGCAGCCAACAACAACAACTTGAAAATTCAACACACATAAAAAGTTGAAAAAAACAACAACAAATAAATAAGCAGCAAAACAGTTTCAAACTTTAAAATAATTAATAAAACAAGTACCGTAAATCCTTACAAATTTATATACACACCCTTACTTATATATGCACATATAGTACATACATATGACTTAAGTAATAAAGCATTTTGTACACTTGAAAAATTAAAAACAAAAAACATTTTGTTAAAAGAAAACTTTTGAAAAATCGCTGAAGTACTTGAAGTAATAACGTAATGCTTAGAAATAATTACATTCAAAAACGTAAATACGTTATAAAAGTGCGTTACGCAAATTAACTAAAAATTAAAAAAAAAGGAAAAGAATAACAAAATAATTTTCAAAACCTGAAAAAAAAATAATTTTCAAATACTGCAAAAAATTAATTTTCAAATTCTAAAAAAATTAAAAAATAATAATTTTTAAAAATTAAACAAAAGTTAAATAGAAATAAAATTTAAAGCATTAAAACAGTTTTAATTTACAAGCATATAACACACAACTCCGAAGTGCAATGGCCCCCCTGGCAAAAAATTAATATAATAATAATATTACAAATATATTAAACCAATTTATTCAAATTATACATATATAACATAGCATAGCATAGTCATAGCCGTTAAAGTTTTTGTATAAAAGTAGTTGTAAAACAAACGCTGATAATTGAAAAATGTAATGCAACATTTTGGAAATTACATTATATTATTAATGCTTAATTATTGTTAATTACTTGCGAGTATAATTGTGTAACTGAGTGAAAATTGTAAAAAAATTTCTTCAAAAAAACTTCGAAATAAATTTTTTGCAACAATAAAGCAAATAATTAACAAAAACATATTATTTGTGGCAAAATTAACGGTTTTCCTAATTAAAAAAAGTAACAACAAAAACAATTTAACGAAATGTGCACGACTACAATGCCTACGGCACGTAGACGAGGACGAAAGCTTTTGAAAAAGATTTCACACGGCGCAAAATTTTCAAATTAAACAACTATCAGTCAAGTTAATTAATAAAATTCCCACAAATAATAAAGGAAAATTAAAAACGCGACAGAAAAGTTGCAAAATAAACGGAAGCGGCAACAAGCAACAACAAACGCTAGTGCAACCACAACAACAGTAAAGGTGTAAATAAAATAATTGAAAAAATAAAAACCAAAATAAACTACAATAAATAATAAAATATAACACACACACACATTCAAGCATACATACATAGCAACCATAAAAGCTACTAGCAGTTGGCTGTCTGTCTGTCTGTATGTATTGCAGCTGGTTGGCAGAAAGATTAAAGCTTCGCTCACATACCAACACACCTACAACAATAATAACAATAATAACAACAACAAACGGTTAGTTAGTTTGCGCCAAGCTATTGAAGCTGAAAGTTTCGTAATAACAAAAACAATAAAGCATATAATAATTACAACAACCAGCACTAAACATTACATGAAAACACATAAACCCACACTCATACATACAAACATACATTGATAGACAGCAAACAAACATTCAACACAACTAAAACGACGTGCAACATTACCAACAACAACAACAACAAATTACTATAATGTATACGCAACGTATGTTTGACATGTGGAGCAGTGTTACATGCAAGCTGGAAGCACACGCGAACAATTTAGGGCAAAGCAACGTACAATCGCCGGGACACAACAACTCTAGCGGATCAATAAAAGGTAAAAATAAGCAAACCACAATTTCTCACATAAAACCAAACATGATGCATATAAAAACACGGAGCACTAAAATATAATATATGTACATACATATGTACTAGTGCAATAAGAAGTAAGCGTAAAGGATAAGGGGAAAACTAGTGAAAATAGGTAAAAAAAAAACAGCAAAGGTTAGAAGCGACAGGGGCAGTGGTGAGCGAGCGTTTGACGGGGGTAGCGTGCCAAACTGCAATTGGCAGCACTCAGCGACATACACACTTGCACATGCACCTGTACACACATGTATGGATATTTGCGTATAAATGTGTGTAAGTGGGTTATAAAGGCTGTGAGACAGAAGGAAGTACACTAACGGAATTAGGCAAATGAAAGTTATTTCTGAGACTTCTTTTGATATATGAACCTGAGAGTAAGGGGCTAGCTTGGGCGGTATCAAATAATAGAACTTGCCTTAACATTTTTCTGAAGAAATTTTACATTTACAATGTTGCTGTTTTGTAGAGTTGCCAGACTTTAAGTTATTTTAAACAAAAATGCTGTTTGAGAGGTGAGCGGGGTTATTAACTGATTTTACCTATTTTTCCATGGTATTATTCGCCAAGCGTTGCAACACTGCGCTAAAACATTAGCTGACGCATGCACTATAATGTTGCGCTTCTTTTTTTTTAATGAAGAAATTCTTATTTTCGCCATAAGAGACATTTAAGTAATCTCTTAATATCAAGCCCTACGTTTACCCTAAACAGCTTTGAAAATCAATAATAATAATAAAAATAAAGTGTTTATGTCATTTTTGAGAGGAGTTTGTCATAAAAGCCATCCACAATTGCAAAACTTCTCTAAACACTGTAAAACTCAAATTGATAGCATTGAAGATACCGGTTATACCGCTTTAATAAGGTATCCGCATACTCATTCTCTTAATTATATTCTATTTTATTGTTGTTTATTTTAAATCAAAATTTTCTGGACAAGTAAGCAGTGCGCAAAGTCAGCGAGCAGAGAAATGGCGAATCGAAGACAACTAAAACTAATCAAACACAAGAGAAAATTACTCGATAGGCGCATTTTTTATAGCATAAAAGGGTATGAAAAGCTCTTATCTTGATTTTGATCAGTCAGTTTGTATTCCAGCTATATACAAGTATATGTCATGGTATTTGGATCAGACTAATATGTTCAGAGATTATAGCGCTGTATTGGGCATTAATACATGCCAAATTTTGTTAAGATATCTTGTCAAATAAAAAAGTTTTCAAGTGCTTGATTTAGACCGATCAGTTTGTATGGCAGCTATACTCTATATACAAGCCGCTTCTTGGAGAGAAAAGAACGTGTGCACAATTTCAGATCGATATCTCAAAAGCTAAGGGACTAGTTTTCGTATATGTACATAGACGGACGAACAAACATACAGATAGGCATGGATAAATCGACCCAGCTCGTCATACTGATTATTTGCATATATGTACATATGTAAATTTTATAAGGTTTTCGACGTTTCGTTCTGGGTGTTACAAACTTTGTGGCAAACTTAATAACTCTGTTCTAGATATGAGAACCTTATAACATTCAGTCATATTCCCACAAAACAAGTTAAACCAGAAACGTTTCTTAACAAATAACAAATTAAGAAACCAACCAAAAATTTTAAAAAATGTGGGTTTTTCTCAATATTTTACGAGGTTCAATTAAAATAAATAAAAACGGGCATATTTAAAATATATTATCTAGAAAATTTGATTTGTTATTTAAAAAAATAATTATTTCCAAAGCACAACAAAAGACAACAAAATATATACATGTATGTATAAAAATTAATATAAAAATAAAAATAAAAAATTAAATTAATTTAAAAAAAAAATATTTTTAAGACAAAAGTTAAAAAAAATAACTAAAGAAAATGTATTATTGAAAATATGTATATATATATTAAAACTAAATGAAATTAGCTAATAAAAATTAAAACTAACCAAAAAATAGATATATTATGACAAGAAATGAAAGTGAAAAAAAAGAAAATAAGTGAGGATGAGCTCTAACTTACAATTTCAAGACCATAAATTAAATATATACTTATTTTTTATTTTTATTTTTACAAATTAAATAATAGTTACACACAGCGAGAGGCTATGGGGCATTTTTAACTTTCGAAATTACTTTTCACTCAAATTTTTTTTTTCACCTTTTCATTAGCCAAATTTAGTGCGAAAGCAAATGAAAGTAAAAGTATTGTATCTGCTTCTATGTATGTACATCCCTGGGTATTCACATATGTTATTTGTGTATGTTGGCTTATACATACCGTAATTTTTAATAAACATATGAACACTTAATAAGTCAAAAACTACAAGCAAGTCATTCAGTCACTCAGTCAAGCGATGGCAGCAAAAGTCAGCAACGATAGCAAAATAATAATTACATTGTCGATGATGTTGCCAAAAAACAAAACAACAAAAATAAGTAAAAAACCACAAAAACAGAAATAAATATAAAAACAACAAAAACGAAAATAAAAAAGAAAAAAACTGCTAAAAAGACAAAATAATAAGAAAAGGAACGAGACACAAAAGTGCGAACAATCAAAACACAAGGAAACAGACTGTAGCCAGCAGACGGTAGTGATACAGATACCCAACGCATTTCAGTCACACAAACACACACATACACACATGCGCATATGCTTACATACGAGTATTTAGTTGATAAAATATATTATATTATGTGTGCTGTGCATTTGCTGTAGGAAAGCTTTTGCCACTTTCATATTAACGCACGAAAAAGCTAGCAAACCTGCATATGAATTGTTGTTGTACGCGTACATATGTATTCAAGCATTTACACGCAGCCAACGCCGCATAATGAGAGTGAAAGTCGTCGCTGCCGCCACTGCCGCCATGGCCCACGAATGCTCGACTACCGCAGTTGTTGTTATTGTGACTTTTTATTTTCAGTTTTCGTTGTTAATCGCTGCTACTGGCTGTTGGTTGCTGCTGCTGTTTTGCTGCTCTTTTGGCTTAGTTGAAGGGAAACCCATGAAATCGTAAATGGCATTACGACACAGCTTTGCTATCTCCCTCCGCAGCGGCGTCACCACCATCGACCGCTGCATTCAATGGACGCTTTCTACATATGTACGTCCGTCTGTCCGTCCAACCGTCCTTTCTTTGCGCTGCGGTCCGCATTGTGTTTGTGGTCGGTCGTTGGTCGCATTGCATATTGGCGCGCGCACACATACACTCATACCTACTTATCTATGTGTCACACGTTTGTTTATATTCCGCAAGCATGAAAGTATGAAAGTATGAATGCAAAAGTATGAAGTAATATCGTCAGATGACTAACTAAACAAAATAACTCACTAACTCGCTGCCGCAATGCTGCTGCACTGGTTCATCGGCTCACTGACTTACTTTCGTGCGTTTGTATGTTTTTAAGTCAGCCAACCAACTGACTGACTGAGTGCCTTACATATTCACATTCATGCTTGCAAGCTTCGGCTGTTATGTGCATGTTTGTGTGCGTATTAACCACGCAGGTTGCGAGCATTTGAATGCAAGTCTGTTAATATGTGTGCGTGTGTGTGTACTGATTTGGCGAGTTGGCCAAGTGATTGACTAACTGATAGCCGTGTTGATTTTGTTTGAATGCTTGCTGATTTTATCAGTTGAATAACTTGTTTATTACTTCATAATTCGTTATGCACACCAGACCATATGTAACCGTGAGATTGAGGTCCACTCAAGAATTTAGCTTTTGAATGGTAATTTGAAATTATGTGATATAATAATTTAAGTAAATTTGTGTTAACAGAAGTATGTAAGTATTTAAATTCTTTATTAGGCAAATTTGTCGATCAAGATTTTTCAATTTAGAGAACCCGAAATTTAACGAAACATATTTGGGAGTAATTTGGCCACAAATGGTTAATGTTGAATTTAAATTTTTAGCCGTCTTCAAGTACTAATATTTGACCTGCAGAGAACGTGAAAAATACTTATAAAGCGAGAAAAATTGCGATTGTAAGATCCTTCGCAGGATTTTTTTCTAGTTCTTGAGGAGTCCTCAATTTTAATCCAAAACTAGAGAGCTCCAAAAGCAATAAATTCACTGTAAATGACTGGAGCATTTATTAGAAGCACTTTCTTGACAAAAAATGTCTCAGAGAATTAATATTTCTTGCCGAGAGCAGACAGTTACTAACAAAAAAGTGAATGTCCGTATAAAGTATAAATATATATATATATATATGTATCTAAAGATTATAAGAATTAAATGAGGCGATTTAGCCATATCCATCTGTATATGTATACGAGAAGTTTTTAGGATATCGATATGAAATTTTGCATACATTCTTTTGTCCTCAAGAAGCTGCTCATTTGTCGGAACTGTCGATATCGGTTCACTATATGATATGGCTGCCATACAAACAAATCCATCAAAATCAAGTTCTTGTATGAAATTTTTTTTTATTTGACAAGATATATGCACAAAATTTGACATAGATTACTTTCCAAGACAAAGCTATAAACTCCGAATATTTTTTTCATATCGGATCACTATAGTATACATAGAGCTGATATTTGTATTAGTATACATAGAGCTGATATATGTTTGCTCTTTTAGTTACATATAAGAAATGCACCTATGAAGGTTATTATAGCTAAGGTTCAGGGGAAGTTAACGGTTTTCCTTTCTATGGTTTAACATTTCCAACATATTTTAATACAACTGCTTAAATTAACTATACGCACAATTTTAATTTTATTCAAAACTAATACAAAATCGCAAATAAATTCGAAATGAGTCGTTGAATATTATCTGAAACATCATTAAAATCTCATAAAAGAGTAAAAAAAATAATCTTGCCTAATTTGAAATCCGCCATCAAATATTTACGTCAACAAAAATCACATGCACATGTTTGTATGTATGGAATGTCTTGTAAGATGTTTGCATTTTTTTTACCTTAATTTAAATAACCATCATTTACGGATAAA